ATTTTTCAGATTCGTTCAAAATCTATTTTCGATACATTAATATAATATAAGAATCTGGACAGGGTCTTTCTTTCTATTATGAAACATACTTTTGTGGTCCTGTTTTTTTTTTTCTTAAACGATGAAAATATACATACATATTTCATTTTCCGCATTTTACATAATACTTTCATAAATATGTGAAATAATTACTTAGTAGTATCTTAGTTTTTTTTTACTAATTACTTAAATCATAAGTACGATCAATTGTAGAAGATAATCATTTATCTTTAATAAGTATTTATCAAATAATGCAATAATTGTATCAATTAAAATATTTTCAAAATTGCGATTGTAACCTAACTTAACAAGAAACTGTTGTATCAAATGACTATTTCGTTGAGATCATTGAAAATCCATAGATTTCAATAAGATGTCATTTAACAATAAACAAAAATAGTACCATAATTAACAAATAGAATAATAATTTTATAAATAGAATGACTGAAGTTTTTTTTTTATAAAATTTGTCATAGAAATTTTTCGATCGATATGAAATTGCATTTAATCGATTATCGATTAATTCGATTTATTGTTATATTTCTATGTAAAAATTAGCGAGAATCGAGCTGTAAAAAATTCTAGAAAACATACTAGTTTTAAGATTACGTTCTAAGCATTTTAGAATAGACATTAATGTGTATGCGATTATTTTTTTCAAATTTTCGCACGAGGGGGTGGAAATCTTCTGAAATGTGTAAACCTATTATATTCATTGTCGTATTTATTGTTTGTGCATGTTCTACCCTTATTGTCCATCGAGAAATGTTTGCGATTCATGTAATTTCGATGATCGATCTTTTCTAAACGATCGAGCAATACATTTGCTACTTCATATATATGTATGTATGTATGTATGTATATATAATTACGATTTTATATTACTAACAATTGTTCCCTAAGAGTCGACTTAGAAACAAGTGCATCCTGATTTATATTTTTTCCTCGCTCGTTGCTAAGATTTTTCAAATTTAATAAATATATACATACATACGAATACGTAATCGTCGTTTTTGTATTGTTCTTCGCTTTTACAAATTTTTTCATGCATTATTTTTTTTGTACACTATTATAATCTTGCACGAGGTAAATTAATAATCAACAGTCAAGTATGTTGGATTTTCATATGATGAGGCATATGATATTTTATTCGTAAAACGAATTACAATGCCTTCTTTTTTTAATCGTAGCAAATAAATAAAATCACGTAATAATAATGTATTACAATTATCCGTGTAAAATTAATTCAAGGTACGTATGTGGTCATGTGCAATACATACATGGTGGCGAGTGTAACGTTTCTGCAATAATTATGTATGTAAAAACCAGTCTCGCTTCTTTTTTTTTTTCAACTTCATCAGCCAAAAACAAAGCATCAGTCCGACGTTTATGAGATGACGAATCGAAACGTGTGTCCACGTGGTACATAAAAATATAAAAAACTAGTGTTTCGAGGTTACGTTCGGAACGATTTTAGAACATCTCGCTATCAATCTGATCGTGTACATTCGTTAGCATCAATAAATACATTGTTGTTCTACCATTATTTCCCTTTTTATTGTACTTTCCAAAAATCTATCGATTACCATTTAAGAGAAAAAAAAAAAAAAAAAAAAAAAAAAAAAAAAAAAAAAAAAAAAAAAAAAAAAAAAAAAAAAAAAAAAAAAAAAAAAAAAAAAAAAAAAAACGAGGGAATGAGAAAGAGCGAAGCTGTGATGGTTACAGTTCACTTGAAATTTGAACGACGACAGATCGTTGATGTTTAGAGGAGAATGAACGATTGAGAGATTGTTACAGTATGTTTAAGTTCGTGTTTTTCGAAATGTAAAGGTTGGAAATGTTTCTTTGTTTAATTTCCTTACTTCTTCTTTTTTCGTGGTTTGTCTTGCGGCGCTGGTAGGTTTTCTTGTTTCCGCTTGGATGCGGGTTTCGCACCAATGCTTCCACCTTTCTTTCTCCTCTCTTGTCTCTCGCGTTCTTCCAGCTCCTGGTTCTCGCGTTCGATCAGTGTGATCAACGTGTTGCATCGTCGTTGCAATTCCAGGGCTGTGCGTGATTTTACGAACCAGTCGAAACGAAATTGCGGCGCTGATCTGACCGTTGCTCGAAGCTCTTCGTACACATTCTCTTTGTCAAAGCCCAGTTTGTGCAACATGCATACAAGAAATCGGTCTTCCTCCTCGGTGTAATTCTTACCCTTGTTTGTACCGTACGCTATCCTCAACTGATGGAAAGGAGCACGGTATCTTGCCATCTTGGCATCTAGAGCTTTTTTAATTCCGGCTCGTCTCTGTATCTTTGCCTCTCCCCGTTCAATTTGAGCCATTACCCTGTCTATATCCTGCAGTTCATGGCAACGTTCCCAAAATACGGCCGAATACTCCATAACTTCTTCAGGAGTTTTTCCTTCCACCTCCTTGGCTATATTTTCGATGTCGTCTCTCCCATATTTCTCGTTAGCCTTTATAAATTGGTTGAAGTCTCTCTTCGTCCAATTTGTAAAACCTTGGGTAAGCAGTTTCTCTTTTTCTACGACTTCTTCATCGGACAACGGTTGAGCCTCGTCTATCTTACGTTGTTCTTCTTTCTGAATCCTAGCAGCATCTGATCCAAGTTCTAGATTCTTTGGAACTTTATATCCCACCGTTTGCCGGAAGTAGTATATCTCTTGATCGAGCAATTCGAATAATCGTGGAGGGAAGAACTGGAAGTCCTGCACAATCGGTTGCTTTGGAGGTCTGGGTGCTTTTGGAGCTTTCGGTTCCGATACTCTGAGAGCCTCTCTAAAGTAAGCGTCGACCGCATAGTTGGCTTTACGTTCACGCTTAGGTGGCTCTATCCAGTTTCCTATTCCAAGAATCTTTTGTTTCTCGCGATAATCTTCACCTTCAAATTGGTAGACGGAATCGGTGGGTGCGTCGACGGTGAAGTTACGCAGAGACGATTCTCCTAAACTTTCCAATTTCTGTTTCATCTCTTCGGTTTTCGCTTCGCCTTTCTGTAGAATAGTGTCGATATCTTCGTCCGTGATGGCGCTATCTTTTGATGCAAATACCTCATTTGCACCATGCCTGATCATGTTCAACATTTCATCCTTGTTCAATGCCGTTTGCTTCGCGTCCACTAATCGTCCCTGTTGAATAACTAATTTATCTAAACGTAATTTAACCTCTGCACGCTCCACAATCTTTTCTTCTACGGTGTTTTCCGTAATGAACCTGAATACACGGACTTGCTTTTGTTGACCTATACGATGAGCTCGATCCATCGCCTGCAAGTCCATCTGTGGATTCCAGTCAGAGTCATAAATAATAACTACATCAGCCGTTGCTAAATTAATACCTAAACCACCGGCGCGAGTCGACAGCATGAAAATGAATTTCTCGCTTCCCGGTGCGTTATACTCGTTGATCTGACGCTGCCTGTCCTCGTGCGCTGTGTTACCATCTAAACGGCAATATTGAAAACCTCTCCAATGGCAGTAATCTTCTAAAATGTCTAACATTCTAGTCATTTGACTAAATATAAGAACTCGTGAGTCCTGTTGTTGTAATTTTGGCAATAATTTATCTAAGATTACCATTTTGCCACAATTGTAAACAAGATGTTCATCAGTTGTATAAGGAGGTCCTGGTTCTGCACCATCAAACAGGTACGGATGGTTGGAGCATTTGCGCAGCTGCATCAAAATGTTTTGTAGTCTCATCTTTTCAATTTTTCCAGCCCCATTAACTATGTCTATATCTTTCATGAGTACCTTGGTATACCATTCTCTTTGCATTTTACTGAGTCCAATGTATACCTTGATTTCTTTCTTTGGCTTCAGCCCTTTTTCTACATCGGACTTCAAACGTCTCAGAAGGAATGGTCTAAGAACAGCATGCAATCTTTCAACTAATGAATTATCACCTAAGAAACTATTAGTATTAAACCATGAGTCAAAATCATCTGAACTATTAAACACATCTGGTAATAGAAAATTGAGCAAAGACCACAGTTCATGGAGATTATTTTGCAAGGGTGTTCCTGTTAGTAGAAGACGGTTGGCTGTTTTAAATTCTCTCAATATTTCTGACAACTTTGACTTTTCATTCTTTATTCTATGAGCTTCATCTATAACCATATAACGCCAGTTGAACTTCTTGAACACTGACTTCTCTTTTATGACCATTTCATAGGAAGTCACACAAACATCCCATTCTCCAGGCATCATAACTTCTCTAATGAAAGTATTTCTGCTTTCTGCATCTCCTATGAGACACACTGCTCTCAGGCTTGGACACCATTTTTTAAATTCATTCATCCAATTAGCCAATGTGGATTTTGGAACAATGACTATGTGTGGACCAGGAATGCTTCTGAAGTGTTTCATGTATCCCAGCAGTGAAATAGTTTGTAGAGTCTTACCAAGACCCATTTCATCAGCCAAAATACCATTGATACCATTTTCATATAATGATATCATCCAATTTAAACCTCGTATTTGATAATCTCGTAACTCACCGGATTTGATATAGTGCGGCGACGATTCGAAACGAGTCGTAGGTGCGACATTGGCATTACTTTCAGCCAATAATTCCTCATCTTCCTCTTGCTCTGTTTTACGGTGCCTGTGATCACCGGAATCGGCTTTCACTGGATTCTCTGGCTGTTGCTTCCTGGGCCTGCCAGCTTTGATCTTTAACGGACTTCCAGCTTTGTCCTTCTGATTGTTCGTCATAAAATGGGAGAATATTTCAGTCTGTTTTAGTAAATAATCGAAACGTTTGCTACGATCGGTTTCGAGTTTTGTTTCGAAGTCCCCACCTCGGGACGACGTGGTCTCTGCCGAAGATCCATTCGAATTGTCTCCCGTGTCCCCCGTGTCAGCATTTTCATCTGCTTTCGACATTTTCGTCGTTTTCTTTATTATACTTTCCCCGTGGACAAGTGGAGTTTCAGTCAGTCTAACGTGTACGCAAACGCGTGGTTGATTTAACCACGATTATTCGTATATTACACCCTGTCTTTATTGACGTTCACAAACGCACAACACCAATCGCCGCCACATTGGATTGCGTTATCCCTCCAAAAAGCACTTTACCGTCGCCACCTAGAAGCATCTGTCGACTACTTCGCGGTAATTGAACAAATATTCAAACGTATTTTAAACGAGCATTGTTACGAACGCTGTACCGTCGATAATGCAAATTATTTTGTCAATGAATAAAAAGTGTAGTTTCAGAATAGTTAAAATAATTCATTTACAATTATCTCGATAGATTAGATTGTTGGATATTGTATTGAATATTATATAAATATCATGTCTTATACAAAATTAAATACCCTAACGAATATAAGAAATATTTCGTTATTTATTCATATCGAGGATACAGTACTAATACAATTTTACTGTTTTTAAAGTACAAAGTTCGAATAAATTTAACGATGATACGTCGTACTTGAACCACGGATAAGGTGCAGAATAGACCTATCACCCAATGTATTTTTCTGTCCATATCACAGGGGCTCTAGTGTCCGCTTACCATTTTCGTGACGCTTCCAACGTTATCGATTCAGCGTAGAATAAGATTGCAACATTAGTAGCGGTTGGAATTAATACTAAACATAACTATGAAATTACAAATAAGGTATAGGAGAGGATATCATAATTACTCGTACATGGAGTATAAAATTCTGAATATACTTTTAAATGTATAATATGTATTAGGTTAAACTACAGAATATTTCGATTATTTCGATTATTACGCGTTCCTAACAATATTCGGAATTAGTTGTTTTATTTTGCACTGGAATTTAAGCAATGAGATTTTTGCGAAGGGAAATGGACGTGATGTGTAAGGGAGAAATAAATAGCCTGCAAAATGCTATATACTGGTACATTGTAGCCTTTTGTCAAATACATTTTGTACACTTATCTTACAATAAACAATTGATATTTTTATAAATAATTGTATTTCTTCATTTTTCTTGATGTTCAAGTCCCTTCCTTGATTTCTATGGTGTCCTGAAAGGTCCATCTGTAATTCATACGAAAAGAATATTAATTTTCTACTATCTATTTACATTACTAGTAATGTTAAAGCAATTCAAAATTTATTATATGCATCAATTGGAAACTGTTTACTATGTGCAATTGGGCTCTAATTTACAATAACTATTATTAAAAGTGAAAAATTGATAGGATTACTATTTTAAAAATCAACTAACCTGATAATACTTCATTTCTGTTGATTCTTTCGATGATACCCGAGTAAGACAAGGAAAAGAGTAGGGGTAGACAAGTATAGCAATACTGCCGCGTGTTAGACAAGGACAGAAAATTTTCAAAACGAAACTACGGCCATCTTGCGATTAGTGATCGGAACTACGGCTTTTTAACAGGATTACAGGATATAAACAGAGGTATTAGACAAGGATAGCACTAGTGTGCGAGAAGGATAGAGAGAAAACGTTTCCTATTGGCTGGCGGCCGGCGGAGCTCCACCAATTAGGCGCTAAGTCAAGCCGGTCGGTGAAAGATCATTAATAACTCGATACTTACGATTATTTTATGAACTTTTAGAATTGAAGAATGAAGTGTGGACCTTTAGTAACTTTCTCATATAGATTTTAATGCTCTAGACCCTTTCAATAATTAGTTATTAACAATTTTAGTAGGTGTTGTCGGGAACGATACCGCATACCGTCAAGCACCTTTACGGTTTTTCAATACTTTCATAGCTTTCTACTAAATTCCCATGCAAACAACTATACGCGTCTGAAAGGCAACTCCCTTAGCTCCGTTCTCATACAATATTTATTAACATACCTCTTGCGGTTTGATAGTTATTTAACATTATTTGGGAGAGTATTACACTCGTCACATTCAATCGTAACACATTTTCATTATTTCAGTGGAAATGCGTAATTAATTATGCACTTTTAAGCAAGGAGAATGTAGAATGGATTTTTATATATATTCTTCAATAATGTTTGTAGCCGTAAGTGGTGTGGTTTAGTAGATATTAGCAATTGTTTATAAGATTCGACTATGTAGAGGGGTTATTTATAGGGGTGGAGAAATCTGTTGAGAATGTATAATGACGTTTTGTTTGCGCAGAGCCTTAGTTCCCATGTGAGTTGAGGTTGCAAATTGATCGAGGTGCGAGACACGGTTGCAGTAGCAGGAAAAGAACTTTTATATCGTTGAACCGTAATTTTTAAGTAGCAAGATACTTTTATTTCACTGTTCATCTATGAAACTTGAGTGCACACATTGTTGCAATCTCTATTCTCGAATGCAACATCGATGGAAGCACTATTTCGAATGCAAAACATTGTTGTACGCGTTACTTTTGAATGCAACATTCCTTGAAGCGTTATATTTGAACGCAAACATTGTTGGTACCTCTACTTCAGATTGCAACATTATTAGAAACGTTATTTCAAACGCAAACATTACTACAAGCACTACGCTTGATGATAACATAGTTACAAGCGTTATTCACGCTTGTAACATCGTTAACTCCTATTATTTCCCAATGCACATTGTTGTAAACGCGTTCTCTCTTTTGCAACTTTGTTGCCGCGAGTCGCTCGCGAAAATTGCACATTGTTGCAAACACGTTATCGGACTTGCAACTTTGTTGCTGGAAATCGCTCCCGAAAATTGCACATTGTTGCAAACGCGTTATCTGGTTTGCAACATTGTTGTCGCCAAAATTGCACATTGTTGCACGACGCCCCGTTTTGCAACAATGTGCATTTTTGTCGCAAAATTTTGAACATTGTTGCACGGCGCCCCGTTTTGCAACATTGTGCAATTTTCGGGAGAGACACACAGCAACAAAGTTGCAAAAGGGAAATCGCACTCGCAACTTTGTTGCCGGAAGACGCTCCCGAAAATTGCACATTGTTGCAAACGCGTTATCGGGCTTGCAACTTTGTTGCTGCGAGTCGCTCCCGAAAATTGCACATTGTTGCAAACGCGTTCTGGGTTTGCAACTTTGTTGTCGCGAAAACTTGAACATTGTTGCACGACGCCCCGTTTTGCAACATTGTGCAATTTTCGGGAGCGACTCGCAGCAACAAAGTTGCAAGCGCGCTCTCCCTTTTGCAACTTTGTTGCTGCGAGTCGCTCCCGAAAATTGCACATTGTTGCAAACGCGTTCTGGGTTTGCAACTTTGTTGTCGCGAAAACTTGAACATTGTTGCACGGCGCCCCGTTTTGCAACATTGTGCAATTTTCGGGAGAGACTCACAGCAACAAAGTTGCAAAAGGGAAATCGCGCTCGCAACTTTGTTGCCGGAAGACGCTCCCGAA